TGGTTCTCAGGGTTTGGGGGCATCAGAATCCCCCTGGGGGCTTATTCAAACTGTTTCCAGGCCCTGGATTTATATTCTAATGTGTGCCTGGGGGATGCTGATGTTGCTGGTTTGAGAACTGCTGATTTAGGCTTAGCCAGTTCTTCAGTGGGCAGGGCAAGAGTTGTCTGGCTCCTTATCACTTCACCTCTCTAAACCTCAGTGTCTTCATCTGTAACATGGGACTGCGAGCAGTGCTGACCTCACAGAAAGGTTGGGATGAAGAAATGTGCAAATTCGTGTAAGCGCTTAGAAAGGTGTCTAGACATCGTAAGTGTTCAATAAACATTGATCTCTTTTATCTTCAGGACCCTCGTTGGTCTTATCTGTACCCTCCAGAGCTTAATATTGGGCTTGGCACATAGTAGGCCCTCAAGGAACACTCATGGAATGAGCGACTAAATGACTGTGTGTCCAGGAGTGCCCAGCTTTGAAACCCCGAGTAGTGAGTTTGGTGGCTACAGAAGGCCAGTGAGAAAGGTTGTGGCTGGGAGTCTCTCCTCTGGGTTTGGCAGTTAGGAGGCTGTGACACACCTCTGAGGGCAGTTTCACTGCGAGGTGGGGATAGAAAAATAGCAACCACCCCCATCAGCCAAGCTCTTCATGTCTCATTTTTTTTTCATTTAATCTTCACAACCCATTTTGCAGATGAGGAAACTGAGGCTTAGAGACATTCAGGACTCTAGTTGAGGTCACAGAGCTGGTATAAAGTGGGGTGAGTTTCTAATGGATTCCAGAACTTGGACTCAACCTGGATGCCCTAGAGCAGAAGATTGAGGGTTAACAGCGCAGGGACCTGCAGTTGTAGACAGTTGTGCTGAGGCCTCTGACAGAGGGAGCTCGGGGTGTCTTCTGGTGCAAATATCTGGGCCCACCTTCTCCCAATAGGGTCATCCAGAGCTGTACCCTCAACTCCTAAACCTCAGTCTGAAAAGATGTATCATTCGCCCCATCGGGGACTGAGCGGCACCATGAGGGTGATGACAACTGTCTCCCAGCCAGATTTGCCATCTTAGCACACACACACGTGTGTATGCACACATATCCCATACACACATGCACACGCATACTATGTACATATATGACGAAGTGTAGCTATGCCTTTCAGTTTTTCACACATTTTCACACATTTTCCTGTGTGCTAGAGTGATGTCAGCAGGAGATGAATGAGGGGATGTAATATTTTTCACTTCTGAGGCTGTGCCGTGGCTGCGTGTTTGTGTTTAGTCTGCCCAGTTGTCCAGAAGCAGGAAGGCAGCCCAAAGAGCGACTAAGAACTAGAACTTCCTCCTGTACAGATCAGTTTAAGGTCAAATTAGCCTTACAGCCTCCTTCAGGGTTAGCGGGGGAGAGAGAGACTTCAGGTCTGTGTGGGCAGCTACGAAAATGTTGCTCAGACCAGCAGGTTTTTCATTTCAGATTTAGCTGACTTTTCAATGTTGGGCCAAATCTTGAGCAGCAAACATTTGTAAGCATATGTGACTCTTGGATTTTCAAAAACATCAGCAATTTTATTGGCAAACTATTGTCAGATAAACACCAAACAGCCACCCAGGAAAACAGCCACCCAGGAAAACAGCCTTGCCCGCTATGATAATTGAAATGTCATTGTCCTGCGGTTCTGGAAGGTCCATAAAGGCTAGGTTCCCTGTATCCTTGTGGGTGTGTGGGGGGTGTGTGACTTACTTATTGTGCGTTTATCTCGTGCCAGGTCCTGGGCTGGTACTTGGGACACATGGCTTGCAACTTTCCCACATGAAGGCTTTGGCCGGTGGTGGGATGGTTGGGATCCAAATGCAGTCACAGAACCCACATGTCCGGGCTGACGGACGTGGAAATCGGAAATGGAGTGGTTGCTGGGACATAGACTGCCTTTTTGTGCTTGCATTGCCTTGGCGTCTGCTGTGTGGCCTTGCCTTCCCCTCAGGTCAAGGCTGCAGTTTAATTAATTAAACACTTTGGTGCAGGTTCTCCTTTTCCTCCAACAACACTACTCAAAACAGTGCACTGGCTTCTCAGACATGGCTGTGAATGCTGGGAAATGCTTGGCGACTCACCCCCACGCCGCGTCTGCACCAGTTAAGTGTGGCTGAGTGAATTTCAGTTCCTCAGCCCCACCTGCCTCATTTCCTGTGCTCACTACCCACCTGGCAGCTCCGCCCTGTGGCTACAGCTTCAGGGAGAAAAGTCTACTGTGGCCGGCCAGGCGGGTTTCACAGTGTTCATATTTAATCCTCATGATCAGCTAATGAAGGATGTGTAAACTCACCCCAATTTGGAAATATCCCAGCTGTCCATCAACAGATGACTAGATGAACAGATTGTGGCATATCTATACAATGGAATATTATTCAGCCATAAAAGGAATGAAATACTGAGCATGCTACAATGTGAATGAATCCTGAAAACATGCTGAGTGAAAGAAGTCAGACACAAAAGATCACATAGTGTATGATTCCATCTGTGTGAAATGTCCGGAACAGGCAAATCCAGAGACAGAAAGCAGATTAGTGTTGCTTATGGCTGGGGGAGGGGAGGGTGAGGAGTGACTGCTAGTGGGTGCGGGGTTTTTTTTGGGGGTGATGCAAATGTTCTGGAATGAGATGGTGGTGATGGTCACACAATATTGTGAATGTGCTAAATGTCACTGAATTTTATGCTTTAAAATAGTTAAAATGGTAAATTTTATATGACTTACCGTGATAAAAAAAAAGTGGGAAGGACAAAAAAAAAATCACTTCATTTTGTAGACGAGGCAGCTGAGGCCCAGACTGTCACAGTCCTTGAGGAATAAAAGATAGATCTCTGCCTCTCCCCCATGTGGGAATCCCCTGGATTCCTTCTTCATTTCCTATAGCCAGTGGGTCACCAAGCCCTGTCGATTTGGCCTGTGAAGTATCCGAAGACCATCCTTTCTTCTTTGTCCCCCACCGCTTGTTACCCACTGACCCCTGTGGTCAGCTCCCCACCAGACTCCTACGGCCAGGTTGGCAGAGACACTCAAGCTATCTAGGTCCTTTGTCAGGCCTGGCTTTGTCATTAGTGTCACTTTGGGCACGTCACATGACTTCTGAGCCTCATCTATCAAATGGTGGTTTGGATGTTGATGAAGGTGATGGCGGCAAATCCTTCCTCCTGCCATAGCCTACCATACAGCATTGTCATGAAGACCAAACGAGGTAGTAAAACATAAGTGTGTTTTATAAACTGAGGGGTGCTGTGCCAGTATGAACGATCATAAGGATTTGGCAGAGTGTCCCCTAGCCTGGTCTGTAGAGTTTGAATCAGGACTCTGTGGCCTGCTGAGAACTGTGTCTTAGCTCCCCTGCGACAGATGATTACCTATTAGACAGTGCCACTTCTCACGTGACAGTGCTCAGACTTTGAGGTACTAACCAAGCAGTGAGCTAGATCGGCTCTAGACTCCATTACACTCAGGGCTTGTGGTCTTGGTGTAAACCTATACATTATGTGGGATTCAGCATGGAGGCATCTAGAAAGATTCTAAGAAGAAAGGGACTTTGATTTAAAAAACAAAATCTCAAATGTATCAGTTATTACCTGAGTGCCAGTTAGAAATGCAGACCCCAGGGCCCCATCTTAGACCTGTTAAATCATAATCTGCATTTTAGCACAACCCTCAAGTGATCTGAATACACATGAATGATTGAGAAGCACAGCTCTACACTGTCATTGGGTCCTGAGAAATTCTAAAGCCAGCAACTAAAAGCCGTTTAGAACATCAGAGCGTAGCAAAGCGACAGGTACAGAATGAATAACCCAAACCAGTGACATCCCCATGTGCTAACCTTTACCAGTGGGGGACTATGATGAGATCTCACTGATAAGAGCAATTAAAGTAAGAACTATTTAGGAGTTAAGCAGAGCAAGGATATGTGATTTTTCTCAATGAAAAGCACAGAATTTTGGTGGAAAACACAAAGGGGGTCCTGATTAAATAGGGACACAAACTATATCTAGAAATTTATTCTCAGCAAGGGGCAGTTCTGCCCCCCAGGGGACATTGGACAATGTATGGAGACATATTTGGTTGTCATAACTGGACGGCATATACTGGCATCTCATGAGTGGAGGCCAGGGGTGCTGCTCCACGTCGCAGCTCACGGAATGCCCCACGACAAAGAATGACAGGCCCAAGTGTCCAGAGTGCCGAGGTAGAGTGACCCCAGTCTAGCCTAGTGGGACACACACACACAGGACACTAAAAACTCAGGAATGTCACATATTATTTTAGTAACACAGAGCAATAAAGGTTGGAGGGAACTTAGCGTGGTGGACTGTGGAAGAGATTCTAAAGGGTCGCTAATGAGAAAAGTGTGATAAGGAAAAAAACCACAAATGTAGATCAATGAAACAAAATAGCTCCCAGAATCATTATAATAAAAATGAACATATAAGATATAACAATCGGAACACACTAATGGAAGAATATTCCGAATTCTTAATGGCCTAATTGTCAAGCCATAAGCTAGATACATTCAGTGGGTCCAGAGCTGTATCCCAGACCAAAATAGGGGCCACTTTCTTTGTTTCCTCCTCATCTCATCCCTCCCCAAGCTGAATTTCCATCTCTCCACCATGTGGCTCTCCCATTCCTAGTGAGGCCTCAAAGATTGGGGATAAGATCCAAAACTTGAGACCGTATGAGAGATGGGAGGGTTTTAGGCATAGTAGCCACAGAGGTCTGGGTTCACATTCCCAGTGTGGCTTCTTCCTGCCTGCGTGGCCTTGGGAGTGTCACATGACCCTTTTGAACTTCTATTTCTCATCTGCGAAATGGGTGCTATTGTCAGGATCAAATGAAGGAATGTTGGCCAAGGTCAGTGTTGGGCCCTGCTGCGCCACCCCAGGCCTACTCATGGATCAGAGCACCTTCTCGGGGACATGATTTCGGGGTGTTTTAACCGAGCCCTGTGCCCTTTTTTTGCTGTTGGCCACAGATGACATCCGATTGTTTGCCTTCGTACGTATCACCACTGGGGACGCCATGAGCAAGAGGTCAAAGTTCGCCCTCATTACGTGGATCGGGGAGAATGTCAGCGGGCTACAGCGAGCCAAAACTGGCACGGACAAGACCCTGGTGAAAGAAGTCGTGCAGGTAACTGGCCTGTGTTCTTTCAGGATCTGGGGGTCACACCCACAAATGGGCACTATCCAGCAGGGATGGAGAGGGCTGGATTTGGCTCTTGGGCCTGTGACTTAGCTGTGACTTCCAGGAAGCCATGCTCCATCTCTGGACCATCACAGCTATTGGTGAAATGCTACCAAAATTGTTTTCAGGAAGTGGGCTAGAAGGCAGGTACCTGGGTTTGTGATTCTGACCATCACATAATAGAAGCGTGGCAGCTGGGAGTCTACCTTTGAGATTGGGGCAGGTGGTTCACGGAGAAGGGGCTGGAAAGATGACTAAAGTCAGGGCCCCTATTTGAGTCATGGATGATCATGGTTGACTTCCAGTGGTGGCCGTGAGCACCCAGTGTGAGAATTCATGCACGCCCTCTCTGCACAGTTACTGGCAAACAGCAGGTGCTTGATAACGCTTGTTGAATGCATAAGTGTCAACCTTATGTCAGGGGCCAGTGGGGGCTTTATGAGAATTTTGGTGGCTATAGAATGACAAAGGCTGTATCAGCAATGGCACAGACTCCTAGACTGGATAACTGGGCACTCGACATGGCTGACTTAGTCTCAAATCCCTGTTTGGCTGAAAGGAAAGTGGGAAAGGTGGGCATGCCTTTGGTTTTGTTGCTGAGCTCCTGCATAGTTCTAATTTATAGAGCTCTCTATTTTGAAGTTTGTTTTTTTTTTCCCCTTTGTAGACATAACGAAAATTGACACTATGGGAAACTTCCAAGGTGGTTCATTTGAGCTAGGGCATGAGGTCATGCTGAGAAAAGAAAATCTGAATTCCAGAAAGGAAAACCAAGGGAAGAGAAGTGAGGGAGAGAATTCTCTCCTTACCAAAGGGTTCTCCATTTTGCCAAAGGATTTTTCAAAACCCGGGATAGGGAGGTGGTAGCTAATGGGTAGGGGGTTTCTTTTCCAGCTGATAAAAATATTCTAAAATTGACTGTGGTGAAGATTGTACATACCTATGCATATGCCCAAAGCCATTGAATTATAAAGAAAAAAACAACAAAAAACGCACTCACAAAAATAGGCTACATGCCGTGTGGTATCCTGGATTGGATCCTGGAACAGAAAAACTGCTGGAATCAGAATGAAATATGGAGTTTAGTTATAGTTCCAGTGTTGGCTTCTTAGGTGTGACAAACATACCACAAGATGTTAACAATTATGCAAATGAGGTGCGAGGTATATGGGGATTCTTGGTACTATTTCTCGCAACTTTTCTGTAGATCTAAAATTGTCCCCAACATAAAACTTTTACTTAAAAAATAATAAGAAAGCAGAAAGTTCTTATCATTCCTGTTTTTCCATCTTCCCTACCAGCTCTGTGGGCGAGCACACCCACCTCTGCATTGATGCAATCAGTCTTCAAATCACGCTCTAGTTGGCTTTTTTTCCTCCTTAACATAATTTCATAAATTATATGGCTGCAGAGTCTTTGTAATGAACGTTTTCTAGTGGCTGACTGTCCCATTTCTCAAGTGTACCGTAATGTACTAAATGTCCCCTATTGCTGGCCTCTTGACTTGCTTCCTGTTTTTATTTTTATAAATAATGTTTCAACCAACATTTTAACGCACGCGGCTCCTTTCTTCTGATGAATTGTTTCTTTAGAATACATTTTCAGGAGGTGGGGTTCCAGAATTCGTAGGCGTGATGACCATTTTAAAAAGGTATGGCACTCACGGACATGGACAATAGACTAGTGGTTCCCAGAGGGGAGAGAGGAGGGAGGAGAGGGGAGGTAGACGGGATAAAAGGGGTCAAATTTATGGTGACAGAAAGAAGTCTAACTATGGGAGGTGAACACACAGTGTAAATATATATATGCCTTACTGATAAGATGTACAGCTGAAACTTATTGGATTTCATTAACCAATGTCACCATAAAATAAATAAATTAATTAATTAATTAAAAAAAAAGAAACCAAAAAAAAAAAAAGTATGGCTTGTCAGATTACCTTCCCAAAGGGTTAGCACTATGCCTGGGACATAGTAAATGTTTAAGTGTCACTTATTTCACATCCTAATCAGCATTACTGATTAACAATCTGAGCTCTGGAGGGCCACCTACTTAACCCTACAGGCTATTTTTCTCCAAGACTGTTGGGTTTTCATGGTGAACTAGCTTTAAGGGGTCTCTTTTATGGCAGAAGAACGGAAAATACAAAAAAATGCACATTCCATGGCCAAGGTCTCCTGCCAAATGTTGCCATTCACACTTAGTTAGTCCTCTTCCTTGGCCAGTCTGGATGTGGCCAGAGAATGCTCATCTGGATGTGTCCAATGAGGGCAGTCTTTTGAATTTTGCAAATTATATTGGCAAAATACAGTACCTTAAAATGGATCGTTTTAGTCATTTTAAAGTGTACAATTCAGTGGCCTTAAGTACATTCACTGCGCTGTGCAATCGTCACCATTGTCTAGCTTCAGAACTTTTTCAACGTCCCCAAAGGAAACCTCGTACCCATTAGCAGTCAGTTGAGTTTCTTTTAAATCTAGAACTCTCCTTAGTTTGGTTAAGTGGGCTAGTAACTGAGGGCGATTTGGGGAAATAGGATTTTTTGGTGGGAACCTTCAGTTGGGAATATCAGTTATAATTTCATTTGCAAGCTCAGTGACATTGCAGTAGAAAGGGGTATTGTCTGGCTCTCTGACCTGGGAAGTACAGGGGTTGCTGGCTTTAGGTGTGGCTAGATCTAGAGCTGAAGGAGTATCTTCCTTTCATCTCTCTTTTCTCCGGGTTTGGCCTCAGGTGGCCTCTGTACAATAGGAGAAATGGCCCAGACATATTGCTTCTTCTGGATCTTGATCCCAGGTGAAAGAGAGCCCCCCTCCTTCTGTGTCAGTCATTCCCTTAAGGACTCCTGTTAACCCAGCTTAGGTCACATGCACATCCTGTGGGGCAGAGAGGCAGGGCTTTATGATTGGCAGCTATAGCGTTAATCCAGTTGTTAAAGAAATGCTGGTAGATGAGAAGCACAGGTATTCATAGGATGAGAGGAGGGGCCGGAGCTGGGATGCATCTTAAACTACAGATGCAATGTAATATTTTGACCATTCTCTTTTGCATTTTCCACTTCTGCATAAAAGTTTATTACCTGAAGCTATTATAAGACCTCACATTTATACTACGTTTGCAAATACAGCCATTTAAGTTACAAAGGGTCAATTTTGCTGGCATAATGGTGTGTTTTGACAGTCCCTAAAATCATGCTGATCCTGGCAAGTGTGCCAGTTTTCCCTCTGTTTAATGGAGACTCAGAACAGATGTCCCCTAAGGGGCTTTTTAGATGGGACATGCTGGATTCCATATTTTGGGGACTGGGCCACTTCCCCAGATGCCTTTTACCACGATTTCCATGTGAAGAATAAGTGGATTGACTTTTAGTTTAAGGTTATTAATACACCCTTGGATTTTATTGTAATAAAAGTACATACCCACATCCTTAGGCTTTGTGTGAAACATAGAGAATGTAAATTGACGTAGAGACCCTGAAATCAAGAAAGAAGGTCTTTATGCCACTAACTACCTGCCCGATGGTGGGCAACTCTCCCTTCCTGGGCTTCAGTTACCCCGTTTGTGAAATGAGTTACGTGAGTTGATTTGTTGTGTCATACTCTGTTTTGACACATTCTGAAACTTTTTCACTTTTTAAAATTGGGTACTTTGTTTATGCCAGCATCTTACCCTTAAAGGAGGCTTGTTTTACCTTGTGTGACAAGAGACAGGGCAGTGCAATGGTCTGGAGTGTAGCCTTCTGAACCAGATGGTGTGTGTTCAGATTTCAGCTCCACCACTTACTGTGTGGCCTTGGGCACATTGCTGGCCCTCTCTGGGCCTCGGTCTCCTGAGATCCAAAACAGGGGTAATATAGTATCTGCTTCTTAGGGTTGTCATGGGGATTAAATGAGCAAATATAGGGAAAGTGCTCAGAACCATGTCTGGTGAAGGCCCAGAGGAGCGGTTATAGTTATTTCCAGCGTTCCTCTTTAGACCCCACTGTGATGCACAGCTTTCTATGCTATGAATCATTTTCCTAGCAGATAGTAGGTCCACATGTTGAGCCACGGGTGTGGGACATGAATCTCATCGATCCATGTTGCCCGATTGATTTGTCTTGCAAATGGCTTGGATAAGAGTCACAGCCATAGCAACACAGCAAGGCCCTGGCATCACCCACACTTGCCAGTGCTGACTTTAAACAATCCATACCTCAGCTGGGGCCTGCCGCATAAGGGCATCAGCATGTGGGGAAACTGAGGCCCAGAACAGTCATAAGACTTGCTTCAAATCCACAAGCTAGTGAGCAGCAGGTCTGGGGCTGGAGTTCAGAGGAGTTAAAATTCAAGAGGTTTGACTTTGGGTCTCTTTAGTCAGTATTCAGAGCCAGGCTGAGCCATGTCAGTGGCAGGGGGAAAAACAGGGCAAAACGAGTCAGGCTGGGTGATGGGGACACCCAGACTTGAGTCCCGAGAATTCATCGAACAGACAGCGTGCATGCATGGCTGCTTCTCCACTGCTGTCATCTGCCACACAGAAGTGCCAGGCTGGTGCAAAGGACAAAGCACCCATCCCATTGTTCTGGTGTCTCTGTGGGATTACGGGGACAATGCAGTCGCCACCGTTAGAGCCCTGCCTGTGCAGGGCTAGGCCGTCTTGATTTGGAGCCAGCCTCAGTCAGGGATGCATCATGCTTGCCTTGCAGGACGGCTTTATTCACATGATCTTTTTATTCATTTTTTTAACATTCTGTGTATGTCTATAGAGCCAAGTAAGCAGAGAGTACATCTCAGCTTTCCGCACTGGAAACAGAGAATGGCAGAGTATTTCCTGCAAGAAGCAGTGGAGGCAGAAAGGACAGATATTCCAGTGTTGGTGTGGAACGATCAGCTTAGCGTGTATTCTCTTGGTCTCTAAACCTCAGGAGCAGGGTGGGCTCAAATTCTGGACCTCCTCTTACCACC